AGTGCTGTATGCAAAAAGCCATGCACTTTCCAGTTTCTGCCCTGGGGTCCTTCAGTTCTTTGCTTGTTCATTCCTGGATCCCCACAGTGCCATCTGCTCGTGGTAGCGTAGGAATTGGGATCTAGGTGATAGACAAGCTTCCAGCGGGGAACACGGAGCAGGTGAAATGATGATTTATTCACATCTGCACAGCTCCCCTGTTTTCTCACGCACAGCTATCCAGGGGGTCTGATTAACATCTTGATATCGCTGCTAGCTCTGGACAGAGACATTAGCTGCGTGGCTACTGTAAGCGCGATCTCCGCCTGCATGTGGAGGCCAGCATTGATTCGGAAGGCAGAATTGCTTTATTTAGCTGCACATTTTTCATTTCCCATGCTCCCCTTCCCTCTTGTTCTCTCCATCCTGTTTGTCAACTTCCATGTGCTAGCAAAGGGACTGGTGCTGCTGTAAAGTCTGCTGTGGATGGAGGACTGCCTGAAATGTTCTGCGAACATGGGAGTTTTAATCGGCATAACTAGAGATGAACGAGACGTGGATCTAAAGGCCAGCATATGAATTGGGATGTGGCCAGTTGCCCTCCCTCTTTCCTCGGTTTAACTTGTGCAACAGGTAGAGCCAACACAATGGTTTCCAAGCAGAACAAAGTTCCCTTTATAGGCAGAAAAAGCAATACATCCTCACACTGCAGTGGTTGCCATGAAAAAGTGTCCGTGTCCCCTGAGAGCACGATGTAGATGCTGAATGGGAAATGAAAGCGATAGCTCAGACCCAACAGCAGGCAAATGCTGCTGCTTTACCAGCGATCTCCCCATCTCTGTGCTGAGCACAGGGCTGTTTCACCTCTGGGCCACTTAACACAGTTGGTGTCTGGGAACTCGTATCTAGTAAAAACTCTCTCTTGGTCACTCTCAGTAAGCTTTTATGGAAGCAGAGCTGTCTGCTTGCTGCTGGGAACTTTGTTCTCCCCAGCAAGAAGCAAAGTCCCCGTCTCAGGAGTGGAAGTGGATGCAGCTCCCTGAATCGGGGCCTCGGGGAACTAGGGATGGATGGGGAGAGTCTGAAAGGCCGGGGGCACAGAGAGGAACGGAGCCAGGGACGCCCTGCTCTGGAAGCCATGCTTCGGAGACCAGGCAAGGTCCAAAGCAGGCTGTGCTTCATCGGGGGCTTGGGCTGATGTTTTGTTGCTGTGATCAGATGGTTTTGGGTCCAGGCTAGAGCCAGCAGCACTGTGGCTCACATGGATCCTTGTGGGAAATCCCATTGAGAGCTGCTTGCAGTATGCTAGTGCTTCAGGCATTTAAAATGCAGCTCAGGATACGTGCCTTGGTATGGCTCTAATGCCAGTCATGGTTGTGGTCAGCCCTCTCATCCATGGCTCGATTCAACTGGCTCTTCCTGAAGGATTGTTGAGTGCTTTCCTTGCCGAGATGGAGACAAGGTCCCCGTGGGCCCTGCTCACCTCCAGCTGGCAGAGTGCTTTGCAGATGTTTTCTGGATTCGGGGGGTGTGATGTGGTGGGTGTGTGGGT